CTCCCGGGGCGGCAGCCTCCAGCATTTCCACGGGGAGCAGCCGCTGGTCCACGCTGCCATGGGAGCGATGCCATCTGCAGTGCTCTCCTTGATTTCAGTTCCTCGGTGAGGATCTGCGTTCCACATGCTCTGATAGGCTCTGGGGCTTCTAAGCCTCTTAGAATTGGGGAAGTCTGGCAGTTTTTCTATTTCATTGCCTCTATTTGCAATACAATTGGTCCTTCATACATTTCGTGTGGGAGGAGGAGGGGAAGATGAGAGGGAGAGCAGGCCAGGCCAGCAGGTGCACACACCGGGCTTCATCCCTCTCCTGGGCACTAGGACTCCATGGGTGTCTCCTTCTCTACCAAAGACCTTGGAAGTGGCTGTTACTGCCTGAGCCTGCCCTTTGGTCCACTCGGTGTGGCTCAGAAGCAGTGCCTGGCTGTCTTCTCAGCCTCTGAGCCCCTTGGTCTCTTTCTACTGCTCTTTACAATGGCCTTAGCCAATAATTCAGGATGGAGGCCCCCAGCTATAGGAGAGAAACTCTCTTCAGGCAAAGCTGATGGCTGGACTCGATGGAAAACGGGCCCCCTGGCAGGAAGGACAGCATTCCTCCTGGGCTGAGCAGGGCTGGGGGGTGTCGTGTATGGACAACATCTTCAAGGAGCAGCAAGAGGGGGGACTTGAATTTTCAAAAGCTGTGCTTTGGGGCACAAGGCAGAGAATGTTCCCACCTTCTGCTGGAGGCAGTGCCCCTGTGGGTGACAGAAGATATATCTGCCGGGTTCTGATTAGGAGTCTTGAGGAAGATGTTGACATCTGTCCAAACGCCAGCCCCTGTGTGGCTGAGGGAGCTGGAGGCAGAGGATAAGCAGGGAGGTGGCCTCTGGTGGCTTTGATAAGCAGGTGAGGTGCTGCCTTCTCCTTCATGGGGCCTTCAGGGCCATGGCGGGTGGTTTAGCCCAAGTCTGCTTCAGAGGTGCCAGCTGGGTGCTCTCTGGCAACGGCAGGCCCTGAGGCAGGGCAGAGGCAGCGGGGCTCCGGGTAGCCAGGGCAAACAGGCTGTCATCCTGCCCTCTGCAGTGGCTGCGAGGGCCCAGCTGCTCCAGTCCTTCTTGGGGCCGGCAGTCTCTCCATAAAACCCCGGACAGAGACCATCTTCTGTTCCACGTCCTGTCCCCGTGGCTGGGCCCCGGGGAGACACCCAGGGTGACATTGGGCTCAGGTCGCAGAAACAGGCTCTCCTCACCAGCACAAACTGGTCAGCATCCACTTCACAGGTCTGCCTCCAACTCTGCCTGCGGTGGCCCTCTGCCGCTCCACCTAGTGCACCTTCAAGGGCCCAGGAGGGGGCTGGCCAGGTCCCTGCTCAGCCTCCTTCCCCGGGCCTCCGTCACGCCTCCCACCCTCTCTCTCCCCTGCTTCCCCATCAAGCAAAGCAGAGGCTGCACAGGCCAGAGAATCACTCACAGGAGGGGCGGTAGGGGTCATATCTTCTCCATCTCAGATCACAGAGAGAAGCAAGTTGGGCAAATGACAGGGAAAAACAAAGACAAAGCTGAGTGCTGGGGAGAGGATATTCCCCGAGTGAGCCAGAGCTGGACCGTGGGAGGCGGGGAAGAGGGAGGGTTGGGGAGGGAGAGCTGCTGAGCAACCATCACCGGCAGCAGAGGCCCCAAGGCAGAGGCTCCAGGAACCAGGTGCGAATCCGGTGCCTCTCAGGGGAAAAAACGGAGGGGGCCACGCACTCACAATGGATTTTCTCATCTGCTCTGAGGCGTCGGCCCCTCTGGGCTGGCAGTCTCGCATGGTATGGTCCAAAATCATTAGCAGCGCAGCCAGCTCCCAGGGCGGACTTTGGGGGGTGGGATGAGGGGCGGGGGGGTCTGCAACAGCCACAAAACAATCAACAGCGATGCCTGATGCTGCAGCCAAAGTTGCCGGGAAATAAGTGCGGAACCGTCAGAGCTTGGAGAGGGATGGAGGAGCTGAGGAGCGGAGGCAGCAGGGAGGGGGAAGGGAGGACAAAGGATGGATGAATAATGCTTTTGCAAAGGGGAGAAAGCAACACGCAGCAGGAGGAGGAAATTTGCAAAGGGGAAAAAAATCATTTGGAGAAGGGCTGCCCCCTCACCTTGAGGTCTGCTCCAGAGATCTCCGTCTATCTCTCTCTCTCTCTCAATCTCTCTGCTCACTCTTCTCTCTTCTCTTTCCGCTCCTTCAATTGGGAAGGGGGTGGGGGTGGGGGAGGGGAGTTAGGGGCTCAAGACTGGGGCTGCAGAGCTGGCCAGCTGCTGGGGGGCCAGAGGTTGCCTCCCGTCTGTACCTCGGTCTGTGGGTGAATGTAGCTGTGTGTTGTGGAACTGCATCATAACACTGTGAGTCATCCATCCCCCCACCCCCCTCACCTCCCACGTCAGAGCAGGGCTGGGAGACACAGGAGGCGGGTCGGGAGGGAGAAGGCAGGCATCCAGCGAAGGGGCTGGGGGGAGTGAGGCAGGGGTGGGAGCAGAAAGCCGGGACGGGAGGGGTACGAAAGAGGAAAGGCTGGTTGCTGAGGAGGAAGGCAGTGTGGTCAAGGAGATAGAACCTTGGGGAAGGACAGGGCTGGACAAGGATGGAGTCCTGGTGGCAGGGCTGGAGGAAAGGAGGTGGTGAGGCAGGGGACTGTGAGAGATGAAGAGAGTCAGGCTCCTGTACACACATTTAAGATGACATTTCCCATTTCAGCTGGGGCCCCAGTCTGACACAGAGAAAAGACATCGTAATTGTCACATACAGCAAATTGTGCCCCCAAGCGTGTGCCCGGTACTTCCCAGCCTCAACGCCTTCAGCTTAAGACCCCTCAAAGGAGTCACAGACTAAATAGGACATCTCATATGCAGGAACCTGTGAACCACCTCCAAATTCCTTGTGCTTCACAAAGGGAGACACCTACATTACATAAGGTTCCCTACTGGGCAGTAGACTTTCTGAGGTAGGTGCTCTAGGCCAGCGGTTGCCAACTGGTGGTCCGTGGACCACTGGTGGTCCATGAGGTCCGAAAGGTTGGCGACTGCTGGCCTAGACCACAAGCCAGGAAGTGAGGAAATTAGCAAAACCCCCTTTGGACACAGGAAAACCTAGTGGTAGGGAAAGTGAGGAATGCAGCCTGTCAGAGACCTACCTGGGCAGTCATCCCCTACTTGACACAGTGCTTGGCACCTAGAAGGCATTAAAATTGTTTTTAGCCCTAGCTGGTTTGGCTCAGTGTTGGGGTCCAGCCCCAGCAGGTCCAGGGGTTCCCAAAGGTGTGGACGGGGTCGGCGAAGAAGGAATGACACGGAGACAGCGTTCAGTTGATCAGCAGCCTAGCCAGGATCTCCAGCCAAGTTCTGTCCAGTTTCTCTTGCCATGTTCTCTCGCTTGGTTCTCCAGCAAGGTTCTGTATTTTTTTGTTTTTGTGTTGTTTTTTTTTTAATGTAAAACATTTAATTTAAAAATGTTGACACTACCATATATAAAATAGCTATTATAAATGCACATAGTGTATTCTATAGCTGCCAGGTTTACTTTTTTTTTCTTTTTAGGAAACTGTAAGCTATTACACTGTGCTTAAGAATTGTATCTTCACCCTTGAAAAAGCCCACATTCTATCACAGTGATGCATGGTCAGACTTAACAGCCCCAATTGTTAAACACTTGGATCAAGTCATAACCAGTTTTATTGCAAAAGGATCCTGTACACATACATCATTCTAGTACCTTAATAACTACCCAACAAGTCATTAACATACAGAAACATGCATCATGAGAAGCAAGAAATATCACCCATCCCTTCTGCATATTAGCACCTTGTCACTCCTGAGCAAGTGCTCACATCACTGAGGTCTGTGAACAGTCACTTTTCGCATTCATCCTGAGTGAAAGATGGAATGACTTAAGTACAAATGCAACATATTGTAAACACTTTATTACAAAAAAAGTCACAAATTAAACCAAAGTATTTTACAGAATTTACTACAAAACACCGTAAAAACTGCCTTCCCTTAAGCT